ATTGCATCGTGTGTCGGGGTCGTACAGCCAACGGCCTCGAAGTAAATTTCGAGTGTAGCAATGAATCGACGGACGTCGGTGTCTCTTGCATTCGGATTGAACGTCTCCGGTAGCCTCGGACGTGCCGCCTCAAGATTCACTGTGGCTGCTGCTTGGTGAAGTGTCGGTGTCGCCGCTGCTGCTGCTGCCGTCGCTGCTGCATTCGCTGCTACGTTCGCTGCTGCCGTGGCGGCTGCCGACTGGTTCGCGAGAAGCTCCTCTATTCGCTGGAGTGCCGCTCGCATCTGGTCCACGTCGGTGCGTAACTCCGTAATTTTTCGTACGGAATTTTCACCATTTTCCTCCATTTGGCGATTTACAGGAAGATTTGCGACGGAAATAATTGCATGTTAGGCGCTGGTCGATTTACTGCGAACAAACTCGACTGTAGAAATGACGAGCGCTAGATCCGTACGCCACGAAATTCTCCTTTAATCGAAATTCGCGTCTGATCCCGGCCGTTGAGAAGAGAATCGATCCGACGCTCCAAATTCCAACTTTTTTGGGCGAAATTCTCAGGGCCGTTGAGATTCGAACCAATCGGACGGTCGAAATTCCAAATTTTTCGCCAATGAACCTGAGGAGGATTCGAAAACCGGTTTGAGGGGAACGTTAGGAATAGCGCGGAACTGGTTTACGTACCCGAAATCGGCGCCTCTTGTCGTCGCCCCCGCGGTTTTAAAAGCTAGGTTTAAGTGGTCGAAAAAACTTCTCGAGTAAACAGGCTCTGATACCAAGTGTGAGGATCTAGGATCGAGCTCAGATTAGAGAGTTTGAATTGAATCGAATTGAATGATCACCTGGGTACAACACGAGGCTATATATAGGCTCGACACAAGGGGCAGTAACCAGGTGTTACGCGAAGGTTCTGGGGGTCGCGAAGCGTCCCGAACAGACCCTTCCCAAATTCGGTAGAAGGCAATTCGGTGGCAACCGAATAGCCCTGAATTCGGTGTACGCAACCTAGCTCGGTGCTATAACTATAATAAAATATAGGAAAGCACCTAGCCTAGGAAATCAAGCAATTCATGCATGCATAAAATAAACCTAAGCTAGCAATAGCGTAATAAGATAAAAGAAAGCATGCATAGCTGGCATAAGCCGTCGTACTCTCACAACAGCCATGGCTGCACATGAGTTACGCTGGCTCACTCACCCGCTGACTGACTTGGGAGAGCGGCCTCGTTCTCCTCCAGTTCTGTACGTCGACAACAAGGCAGCCATTGCCTTGTGTCAGGAGCACAGAATGGAGCACAGAACGAAGCACATCGCTCTGCGTTACTTCCTTGCTCGAAAGTTGCAGCAGCGTGGTCAGCTTCGTCTGGCTTACGTGGACACGCGGGCCAACACTGCTGATATATTCACCAAGGCACTTCGGCCTAGTGATCATCAGCGTCACTGCACTACTTTAGGGCTCGTGTCCACTTTCTCTCACTTGCTCACTTCTTGACTTTGCTTGTACTATAATCATTGTATATATATCTGCGTGCTTACACTTTTATCACTAAACTATTTGCTCTCTCTTTTATAACTATGCATGTGAACTGGCCATGTGGCCTTTGTGCTTGTGCTCGGAATGTGTGGTGACTTCGTGATCCACCTTGAGCTTGCTTTGCCTTTCTTGGCCAGCCTTGTGACTGCTAGTTCTCCCCCACTCTGCCTATGGGGGTGTGTCAAACTATATGCTGTGCATATTTGTGTATGCTATAGTGAGGTAGCCACTGAGGGGTACAACCCTTTTAGGGTTAGACATTTGTATCCCATTGCTCCCTAGTTTAATCCATTCTCGACCTAGATTCTTAACAATTTCCTGATTCGAGGGTGGTGATGCGCTGGATGAGTTGCTCTAGAACGGCATTGCTGATGGTAGTGTTGCCCGCGGTGTTCGCGGTAGAGTTGGCGGGAGCTTCGGCAGTGGGAGCTGCTTGCCCACCGGATCCTCCAGCCATATTTCGGCGGGAGCGCTTACCGGACGCCACCTTGGATTCGAATTTGAATCAGAGGTGGTCATGCAAAGAATCGTGAGTTGCTCTCATCATACCATGTTACAATCTGAAATGACGTTTATAGGATCGTCTCATGTTGATCGCAAGTAGTGTAGCAACGGAAGTTTTGCTAGTGAGAGTTGGGTACAGACCCTGTCAGAAGAAAGAAATTTGAATTTCGACAGAAGTGACTAATACTGTAATCACCCGGATATAAGACCCTAGGGTCTTATGAAAACTACGGGAAAAAAAAGAGGGGGTCTTATCATATTGTAATAGTAATATAAGACCCGGGTCTTTACATACGGACCTAGTTTTTGTACTTGTATATGAATGCAAAGATCAGGTTGGTGTTCGATTCGTTTTTAGATTTCGGAAAAGGGTTACGCCGAGGATGTTTCTGTGACGACGGTTCACCGATAAGAAATTCACTTATTGCTCTGTGAATGGACAAGCACATAGACCCTCACGTCCAACAAACCTCGAAGCGCAACTGTGAGAATCCCATCGTCAAACTTTTGCCATGTGGCATCACACTCGCCACTAGTCAAGCTTTGATCCATGAGCCTGGTAATGGCGAAAAAAAAACAGAGAATGCACAATGATGATGGTGCGATGGCCACGTGACATCATCGGAAGGGGGGAAAAAGTAATATCCCTCACAAAATGATTCGATTCTATAATAAAGTCACATGTTCTCTCTACAAGAGGGGGGGGGGGGGGGGGGTGGTGGGGGGGGTCTTATATCCAGGTGATTACGGTACAATGCGGTACAGGGGTTTATATAGGTATACAGTGGAATACGAAAGGTCCTAGCTAGCCATGTACTCTGAGGGGGTGCATTTCCTTTAGGGCTAATCTAGATCGGGAAAACCAACCGTGTGGTTCGGTAACAATTCGCGCCACGGTAACTGTTTAAAATTTTTCCCGCGCTTGCAATAGGAATTCTTCCTGGTTTCAACCGTTCGATAATTGTTTGTGTCGCTCGGCCTTTGTCTTCACTTCACTGCAGTCATATTCGCGTCAAGAGTTCGTTACTGTAGGAACATTCTTCAACAATTCCATATCTATGTTAAACAGGCTAGGCGCAATCGAGAAACAGGCAAAGAGGATTTTCACTAACGAGCATAGGGATACATATAGCAAACCCTAGAAGGGCTGTACTCGCTATAGAGTACCCCACTGCAGGCTAGACAACCATCACATTCTGACACACCCCCATAGTCAAAGTGGGGTACAATCAACATAACAAGCAGACAGAGCAGTAGGTTCACAAACACAAGCAAAGCTAGAGGCTATCACAGAGGGCAAGTGAGGAGGAGGAGAAACTGTGGGAGCAAGAAGATGAGAGGCGACGGCTGAAGCTGCAGACACACGGGCAGCAGGAGTGCGCCGCACTGTCGCTACCAGGCTAAACCCGGACTACACGGCGACAGGGGGTCGCAGCTGGCTCGCTGTGCTCCCAGGGGAGCTCACACTGTGGCTACCGGGCGCAGAGCCCCGGACTACACGGCCACAGGGGGTCGTGGCTCTCTGGACTTCAGGCGCTGCGGACGACAAGTCGACGGCCTCCACTTGACTTCCCCCAGCTGTCCCACCCCCTTTTCACACACCCCCTTGCTGCACCCCTAGCTCCACTCCCACGACACCCCCCTAGCGCCACTCCCTTGGCTCCCACACACCCCCCCCCCCTCAGCGGCAGCTGCAGCAGTGGGAGACGGAGAAGGAGGAGGAGGAGGGGACGGCGCACACACCCGGCACCCCCATACCCGCCACCCCCAAACCCTAAACGCAGGCGGCACGTTGGGGCGGCGTGCGAGCGGAAGGGGGGCGGGGCGCGGGTCCCTGGGGAGCTGCTACGGGCGCCGGGTAGGGCGGCTCGCGGGCCCCCAGGGCGCCTCGACGGGCGACGGGAGGGGGCGACGCGCGGGCCCCCAGGGCGCCGCGACGGGCGACGGGAGGGGGGGGGGGGGGGGGGGGGGGGACGCGCGGGCCCCCAGGGCGCCGCGACGGGCGACAGGATAGGGCAGCCCGCAGGCCCCCAGGGCGCCGCGACGGGCGACGGGAAGGGGAGGCGACGCGCGGGCCTGCGGGGCGACGCGACGGGCTCCCGGGGGCGACACGACGGGCTCCTGGGGGCGACGCCACGGTCGACGGGGCAGAAAACCGCCGCGCGCCTCGGGGCGCACGGCGGGCAGAAAACCGCCGCGCGTTCGGGGAGCGCGGCGAGCAGAAAACCGCCGCGCGCCCCGAGCGCGTGGCGGGAAGAAAAATCCGTCGCGCGCCACGGGGCGCGCGACACACAGAACAGCAGCGGAAGCTAACGGGCGGGACCACCCACAGGATCGACCCAGGAGGGTCGACCTGCTCTGATAGCATGTTAAACAGGCTAGGCGCAATCCAGAAACAGGCAAAGAGGATTTTCACTAACGAGCATAGGGATACATATAGCAAACCCTAGAAGGGCTGTACTCGCTATAGAGTACCCCACTGCAAGCTAGACAACCATTACATTCTGACAATCTAGACCTGTCTGTACCCGTGGGGGGTATTTTGGGAGGGGGGGAGGGGGGGGGTGAAGAGGAGAAGTGGGGCTTCTACTATATGGGTGAGTACGAGTATGTGCTTGGGATCCGGGGCATGGCGGCAGCGAGCGAACGGGTAGATGATACCGTCCTAGCACAATTAGAATACCACGATAGCTATCTTAGAATTATTTTTGAAGGGGGGGGGGGGGGGGGGGGGGGGGGGGGGGGGGGGGGGGGGGGGGTCAAAAGGGGTCTGCACTTCAGATCAGTGTGACACATGGTAGGCAGGGCTAAGCGGTCATGATGAGCGGCTCATCACGTCATTGTAATCATGCTCTAACGCGTGACAGTACCACACATGGGGCTAAGCCGTCATGCCCCATCACATGGGCCTAAGCAGTCATACCCCATCACATGGGCCTAAGCAGTCATGCCCCATCACATGGGCCTAAGCAGTCATGCTCCATCGCATGGCAGAGCCACCTGTGATGTTAGGTAACCCCCCTACGATCATGATGAGCGGCCTCATCATGTCGTTGTCCTCGTGCTCCAGCATGTGGCAGTGCCATACATAGCCCGGGCCCTCTGTGGCGTCAAAGGGGAACGGCTTGCCATTCTGCACATGGAGAGATAAGTGAGGTGATCCACACATGGAAGAACAAAAGGTTGGCATGGCAGAAAGGGTTGAGAAGAGGAAAAGGGCAGGTGCAGAGGTAAGAGAGTGCAGTGAAGTGAGGAGTGGAGAGGTGGAGGGCGCAAGTGGATGAGTTAGGCGCAGCTGGTCAGGAAACACAACAGCAGACTCCTCGTTTCCCTGTCTCTACTCCATCTCAGCCTCCCCAATAAACCATCTCGCCTGTTCCTACTAAAAAAAAAAACTAACAACAAGCAAAAAAAAATGACTAGGTAAAAACCGCCTTGCCTGAACCTGAAACAGGTGGTGAAAACACTGCCAAGGCTCGGGGGATGTGAGAGTTGTGCCTTTTCACCCTACCACCTTCCCCTCCACCACACTGCACCGCGTCTCACTCACTTGCCCCTTGAACGGCACAAAGATGGTGAGAACGCTGTTGGGGAATGCAACAGTGGTGTCCTTCCATCCCCTCTCTTGCTGTGGCACGGGCCGGGCCGGCCCTGTAAAGCAGCTGGGCTTGACAGGGGAGGAGGGCGCGAGCGAACATGAGCCGTTGATTAACCCGCCAGAGTCGATCGGACGGCGGGAGATGGGGCGGTGTTGTATGAGGTGGAGGTGGATGGGGTGCGCCTCGAATGTCGGGTTGATGATGTGCCAAAGCTCTGAAGTGCCCTGAAAAAAGGGAATTCGAAAGGCAAATGCCAAAACGCACAATAATTGAATTCTAAAGCAGAATCTACTGGTGCAATTCCGAGGGAGAAGGAGAGTTGGCACAATCCTGGCTTGCGCGCATAAAGTTGTACCAACTTTAGAAGAGCCGAGTTTTAACTAAAAAGGCCATGAGAAGGGCTTCGGTGCTCACCACTTTGGGCTTCTCAGGTGCTCTGTGCTCACCACTTTGGCCTTCTCGGTGGCAGGAGCAGAGGAGGCCTTGCCATCCAGCAGCATGGCGCTCGGTTCCCGTGACACGCGGTCGATGACAAACACTAAGGCCCGCCAGCGCTGCCTCACTGCCTGGGAGAGGTCCACTGGGGGGATGTCCTGCAGCGAGGGAGTTTACCATGGGTGAGGGGAGGCATGAAAGAGCAAGAAGCATGAAAGAGCAAGAAGCATGAAAGAGCAAGAAGCATGAAAGAGCAAGAAGCATGAAAGAGCAAGAAGCAGGGTCATCGGTCGATACTAGAATCGCATGACCACCCCCGTGAACCAGTCAGCCGGCTGCCCCACGGGGAAGGGCAGCGAGTGCGCGGCAAAAGGACAGAGCTCGACAGACAGAGCTTGAGAGACGGAAAGAGAGTCGTACATACATGCTCACCAAAAGCTTCTTGGGCACGGTGGGGGAATTAATCGGCGCACGCTGGTTGATGATAAAGCGCATGACCACCCCCATGGGCCGTGAACCAGTCAGCATTCATTCAACCCCATGAAACAGGGAGGAAACTTACCGACAGCTTGTTGGGCAGGGCGGGGGGCTTGATTGGCGAGCGCTGGTTGATGATGAAGCGCATTACCACGCCCGTGAACCAGTCAGCAGGCTGCCCCACAGGGAAGGGAATGGAGGCGCTGTTGACAAGAATGACGTCACGGCACCAGGCGGGCGCAGCGTTGAAGTCGAGAAGGAGGTCGTGCCGCGTGCCGGGGACGACGAGCAGAGAGGCGCAGCGCAGCGGACGGACGAGGTAGCCGCCATCAGAACCAATCTGGGCGGGTGGGGAGGTGGGGGGTGTTTTGAGTCAACTCAAAACACGTTGTCAGAACCAATCTGGGAGGGTGGGGCGGTGGGTGGGAGGAGGGGGACATGGGGCACCAGGCGGGAGGAGGGGGACATGGGGCACCAGGCGGGAGGAGGGGGACATGGGGCACCAGGCGGGAGGAGGGGGACATGGGGCACCAGGCGGGAGGAGGGGGACATGGGGCACCAGGCGGGAGGAGGGGGACATGGGGCACCAGGCGGGAGGAGGGGGACATGGGGCACCAGGCGGGAGGAGGGGGACATGGGGCACCAGGCGGGAGGAGGGGGACATGGGGCACCAGGCGGGAGGAGGGGGACATGGGGCACCAGGCGGGAGGAGGGGGACATGGGGCACCAGGCGGGAGGAGGGGGACATGGGGCACCAGGCGGGAGGAGGGGGACATGGGGCACCAGGCGGGAGGAGGGGGACATGGGGCACCAGGCGGGAGGAGGGGGACATGGGGCACCAGGCGGGAGGAGGGGGACATGGGGCACCAGGCGGGAGGAGGGGGACATGGGGCACCAGGCGGGAGGAGGGGGACAGGGGCATGGGGCACCAGGCGGGAGGAGGGGGACATGGGGCACCAGGCGGGAGGAGGGGGACATGGGGCACCAGGCGGGTGGGGGGTTGAAGCCGAGAAGGTCGTGACGCGCCTCTGGGGCGAAGATCACAAAGGCGCGGTGTAGCGGGGGGCCAGGGTAACCAACGTGCGAGTGCCACTAGAGGGGAAGGGAGGGAGGGGAAGGGAGGGAGGGGGAGGGAGGGGGAGGAAGGGGGGAGGGGAAAGGATGCAGACTCACGAGGTGGAAGGGCAGCAGTGGCCCACTGAGAGGGGGGTTGAAGTTGGAGTCACCACGTGCAGCGCACTGGAAGGTCAGGTTGTACGTGCGTGCGTTGGCTGCATTCACCATGCGCATCCGGTGCATCGCTCGCCGAACCTTGAGGAACGGCCAAACCTGAGGGACAGTGGTGGAGGAATGACATAATGAGAAGGGTTGTGCAATTCACAAGCAGAAACATTCACTAACTGCACAAGGCAGAAAAGGTAAAAAAAACACACACACACACAGGAAAAAAACAAAGAATCAGCCCTTTGTCTCACCTTGCCATTTACAACATTTGTATCGCCAGTGTAACCCGGTATCCAATTCGGGTGGACGTTCGGCACTAAGCCCTGCTTCGGATAATTGATGGATCCGTTCGGGAAAAAGATCCTGTCAGCGATCACGAGGTGCAATTGACGCTCGCCACGTGGCAGCCACTTCTTGAGCCGCCTCTGCTCGCCTTGCGGGTCGCGGATAACATAAAGCCCCGCCAATCCCGCGACCACATTCTGTGCCGTCATTCCAATCGTGTGGTCGTGATACCACAGCATTGTCGCGCGTTGCATGTTGGGATAAGTGTGCTCTTGGGATTCGAACTCGGGTCCGTGCTCACCACTCGCCGTGTACCATGCCAGAGGGTGACCGTCGGATTTGCTTGGCGTCTCCCCCCCATGCTTATGGACGGCTGTGATAACATCGAGGTGAGCGAAGATGGAATTGAGGTGGGGATTAGAGGGGAAGTGGCTCCGAATGTTGGAGACCCAGCAAACCAAAAGCCTAACGATCGTGACAGACTGATTGACGGCATTGAACCGCTTGCAAGGAGGGTAATCAGCACACCGCTTGCAAGGAGGGTAATCAGCACACCGCTTGCAAGGAGGGTAATCAGCACACCGCTTGCAAGGAGGGTAATCAGCACAGGAGAAGTCAAGACAGGTCACAAGTGGACTGACTGATCGGCACACCGCCGCCTTTTAGCTTGGGCGCCATGAGGGTGGGGTCGATGGTAAACATGTGCCCCTTGTCCTTGATTCGATTCGCAAACTTCACCTGCTCGAGAATCGGGGTGGAATTAAACGCGGATGTAGGAATCGGATAAGCGAGCGAGGAGGTTAGGACAAACGTGGGGACTGGTAGCAGGTGCAGCCGTGCATCCCTGAAGCTAGGAGGGCCGAGCGTCAGGAGGGCTGCTGTTGAGGAGCAGCGCATTGAGAGTGAAACAACGGTCACACTGTCTGTCGGACACATGGTTGAAGCAGAACGCTGGTACGCTGTCTCGCCAAAGCTGACGGGCCCCGCTCACCCTGGTGGAGGCGCCGGCTCACCCTGGTGGTGGTGCCGCGTGTTGCGAGGAGCACGGGGCCCGGGTAGCGCGCCGAGCTGCGGGAGACGCCGAACGCGTACACCTTGGTGGGGGGCAGGTCGCGGTGGAACTTCTGCTAGTGGGAGGGGAAAGGGACCATGTGAGAGGGGAAGGGGAAGGGGAAGGGGGGGAAGGGGAAGGGGACCGTGTGAGCTGCAGGAGGTGCTGTGCGCGTACACCTTGGTGGGGGGCAGGTCGCGGTGGAACTTCTGCTCCATTGGGGGGGATGGGGGGCGGGCGGAGGGAACGAGGGAAATGGGGTGTGAGGGGGGGGAAATGGGGGGAGGGAAAGAGAGAAATGGGGAAGCATTGAGAGGGGAAGGGGACCGTGAGCTGCCGGAGGCACCGTGCGCGTATACCTTGGTGGCGGGCAGGTCGCGGTGGAACTTCTGCTGGTTGGGCGGGTGGGGGGGGATGGGGGGAAGGAAGGAACGGTGAGGGAGGGCGGAGGGAGAGGGTGTGAGGGAGGGAGTGGGGTGACGGTGGGAATGTGGGTCTTCGTAGAAACAGATTTATTCTTGCAAGAGTGGCGGCTCAAATGGCTCACAGACGCGAATGTGCCGCTTGGATGACGGGCCGCGGGTGTCAGACGGCCGTCAGGCGATTGCGGCAATGGCACTCGCCTGGTAAACGTCGTACGCGCCGAGTTTGATGGTCTCGCCGGCCGACGCGTCCACGAAGGTGAGCGGCGACGCGGCGAGGTCGTCGACGAACTTGCACAGCGGCTTCTCCGGAAACCGGTTCACGCACCGCGGCCCCGCCATTGGCTGCGCGCGCGCCGCCAGCACCGCCGTTGGCATGATCCTTGCCGAATCCGCCGCGTCTCTGTCATTCGTGCCGCCGAGGCCGGCGCTGAGAACCGCCAAGACGACTGCGCAGAGGCGGCGCGCGAAGATGGCGGGATGCATCTCGGCGGGTCGACTCCTGGCGTCTGCGTGCACGAGAGTCGATTGGACGTGGCCGCGCCGCGCGGCGCTTATATGCGCTTATGTGCGGCCGGTCAATAAGTGAATTGCACACTCCGCTGCTGCTATCAGAGAGATGATAGTAGCCCGCCCCCGAGGCATCAGCTGGGCGAAGGGTGGAAGAGACGGAATGGAAACGGAACGCGTGGGACTCGAGGAGGAATGGGCCGGCCCGCTCTCATATATGCTGGCCGCTCGTGGCACAAGGAGAGCGGCGGAGAAAGGGGGGGGGGACATCTGCGCCAGCTGCTTTGTTGGGGACTTCGTTTGGCGGCAAGGGCTGGAGCGGCTGGGAATTCAGGGGGACGGCTACTAGGATGCTGCGTCGTCGCGGCTCGGTGCGGCGGAAGGGGGGATTGTGGGCACAGGCTCTATCCCAGACACTGTTTACTGGGGTTGAACGTTAGGGAACAGGGGGTGGTAGTTGGGGATGGTGGGGGGGCTAGACGGGGGAAGTGGGGGGGGGAACACCTACACGACGGGGGGAAGAAACTCCTGTCTCCTTAGGTCTATGGTCTCAAAAGCGCCTGCGCGCTACAATCTCAGAGGAATTTTTTTTTCTAAATTACTACGGCCCTTTTCCAAACCATCGTGGCAAGACACAGGCGGGCCATTTTCAGGTGCGATCCACACTTGCCAGGAAATCTACTCATGTGCGATCCATGTTATTTTGCAAGTACGAACACCCCAGTCAGTTTTTAATTTTACTTTCTAAAAACTCGTTTTATCCGAGATCCGATTCAAAATTGCTTTAACAGTCGGAATCAGAAGATATTTCGAATCACGCCAAGAAAAATTCGAATGGTCACATCATTTTGGCACAATTTCGACGACTAATTCTGCTTCGCACTAAGAAGTTTTGTAAAGGAGTTTTTATGCCGAATCAACTGTACTGTTGCCACAGGTGACGGATATTGCGCAGGCCATTTCAGCATTCCCTTCTTGGGCGTGCACCCCAAAACACGAGAAACTGTCTGGGTGATAATGAATTTTACCCTCACTTTAAAAATAACCAGCTGGATTTGTTTTTCGCAGTAAACGACGCTGCCATAAAAATATATATATTTTTAACCCCTACAAAACCTGGAGAATTTTATGTTTGATTCTTCCAGAAAATGCTTACTGGGTCTTTATGGTTTCTTTTAATGTAGCGTGGTCTAGTGCGAAAAAAAACCAGCGGGGTATATAGTACGGCAAGGGTTAAATTTAGAATTACCCGGGCACTTTTTTCGTGTTTCGTGGTGCACGCCCATGAAGGGAATGCTGATTTGCCCTGCGCAGCGTCCGTCATGTGTCTCAACAATACAGCTGATCCGGCATAATTGTTCTTTCATGAAATTCTAGTGCGAAGCAGAATTAGTCGTCGAAATTGTGCCAAAATGATGTGACCATTCGAATTTTTCTTGGCGTGATTCGTAATCAATCCTGATTCCGACTGCTTGTGTAATTTTGAATCGGATCTCGGATAAAATGAGTTCTATACGGCAAAATTGAAAACTGACTCGGGTGTTCGTACTTGCAAAATAACATGGATCGCACATGAGTAGCTTTCCCGGCAAGTGTGGATCGCACCTGAAAATGGCCCGACACAGGCCACACCTTTGACCCGCTCTAATCGTAACCAACCAATGCGCGTAGGCAATCGGGCTCTGAATCAGACGAAGATTCTGTAAGGTGGTCGACCAAGCTGCCCGGGCACACTGTAGCAAAAGTCCGCACTTGTTAGATTACGTTCGAGTGACGACGACTGCGCGGCAGTGCGACCTCCCTTCCCCGCGAGGCTGGTCGCATCACCATAGAATACACGTGTGCTTCACTAGGACGACGACACATTTCGATCAACTGCATGAAAGTGTGTGTGTGTGGGGACAAACAGGGACAAAACAAGAAGAGGGAGGAGGTCGATTTGGAAACTACAGTTGCCTGCAGTGGAACTACAGTTGTTCTTGTTTAAAGTCCGACGGAGAAACACGCCGCGCGCGGACTATATGTCAAAATGTCCGAAACCCCGGGCAAACGGGACCCTATAGTCCCAAATTCGAGAAAATTGCATGAAAAGCGGTTTTTTGTCTCTACTGGTTGTTGTTTTTTGTCATATACGTACGTATGGACCGCGCTTGCTTCAACTTCTCGTCGAACGGTTTTACGCGTTATCAGTGATGCGTGAAAAACGGGCAGAAATAAACAACATCGATTATGTTTGATGCCATAATAAGTTTGTCTTTTTGTTTTTCCTTCCTGTCAGCGAGATTACTGAGATGTCATCGTGGAGCGCGCTAGGAATCGCGCGACGGGAATAAGAAACAAGCGCGGTCAAGAGAAACAAAAAATATCAGTTGTAGATGTTTATTTCAAGACAAAACTGCCCTTTTTAGCATTCTCCGTAAATGTTCAAGGCACTTATACGTGCAATGAACCTGGTCAAAAAAGGGACTGTAGAGGAGGGGCCACACCTAGGAATTAAAGGAAAAAGCTCCTCATTCTGAAAATGGGACTTTGTGAGCGCGGGACTTTATAGCGGAACCATTTGTATGAAGTTCCCCTTATAGGTATTTCGTGACCATTTTTTTAGTGAGGATACGATTTCACTATCGAAGCGATTGAACATGAGCATAAGCATGAGCGAATGTCATATGGCAAATACTAGTACAATTTAACTAGCCAAGCTAGGATTTCACGTAAGTGGCAAGGAAAAACAATGTGCGCTAAGGCACAAGCTAACATTTTATAGGAAAACAATTTAAGCAGTAACACAATATTGCGAGCTAGACTATGCAGTGCTGGCAGCGAGGTTCTGGATTATATCCCGTCAACGAAAAGGTGGTTTTACTAGAATGAGGACATACATGTGAGATATGTACCCAAGATGTACCCTCTATAAAGTAACCCAGCTCGAACTATAATATACACATGCGAAGGTGTATGTCTAAGTTGACACACCTCCTAGGCTACGTAAAAGGGTAAATGCCATGTGTGCATCCAATGAAAATTAGCGGTAATATGGAAGAGCTTTCATGCCCCTACACCACCAAACCTCATAGCACACATTGATTTTCAGAGCACTCAGAGTGTTCTCTCCAACAACACGCTTCCTGAGTGTGCAACTGGGGCATGTTCACTCGCACGCCACCTTGGTATCGAAGCTGCTGAGGCAGATAGCAAAGGCCTGCAAGGCGACAGACAGATGCCCATGCATGAGTACAAGAGGTAAGTGGCATGGTGCAAGCAACCAATGCTTGAATCCAACCAGCATCACTCCTGTCTCACCAGCCCAAGAAGCCACATTCTGCACACCTGGAAGGTGGAGAACGGGTAGCGATAGTCCATGGTCAAGGCATCCCTCCCCACCTTGCCAAACCGCTCACCTGCAAGTCTACCCATTTTCACTCCTGTATCACTCCTCTTCCCCTTACACACCTGAAATGCGGAGAGCGGGTAGCGATAGTCCATGGTGAAGGCATCCCTGCCCACCTTGCCAAATTGCAGCAACACCGGCTGGTCCACGTCCCTCCCGCCCTTCACCGCCCCACACGTGCCTGCTGCTCCCCGCTCATGCGCCCTGCCTGCCCCACTCCTGCTGCTCGCCTCACCCCCCCTGCCGCTAATAGTGCTGCTGACGTTGCTGTTACCACTGCTGCGTCCACTGCCACCGCTGTCGCTGCTGCTGCTGCCACTGCTACTGCTCGCCCCACCGCCATTCCTACTGTCGCAGCCAGAGGCACCAGCACCTACAGCTTCAGATGACCCACCGTGGTGTTTCGGCACAGTCAGGCAAGGCGATGAGGACGAAAGCGAGGAGCAGTGGGCGGCACATGGTGGGAGAAGCGGCGAGGGTGCGTGAGGCTGGTGCGGAGTGGTGTGCGCAAGTGGCGTGGCGTGAATGAGTTGAAAGTTCTTGACGGACGCCACTGTCACCCGCCCCCTGAAGTTGAGACACCAGCACTGCAAGGGAGGGAGGAGGAGCGATGGTTCGGAGGGGTAGGGGGACACATTAGGGAGTTGTGTGAAGGCGTGGAGAAAAGGGGAAAGCAGGGGAGAGGAATGCATCTCGTGTGCCATCGTGGATTCATCTCCATCCACCCGCAGCTGCTCATGCCATCACCCCCATCTCACCCGCAGCTGCTCATGCCATCACCACCATCTCACCTGCAGCTGCTCATGCCATCACCACCATCTCACCTGCAGCTGCTCATGCCATCACCACCATCTCACCTGCAGCTGCTCATGCCATCACCACCATCTCACCTGCAGCTGCTCATGCCATCACCACCATCTCACCTGCAGCTGCTCATGCCATCACCACCATCTCACCTGCAGCTGCTCATGCCATCACCACCATCTCACCTGCAGCTGCTCATGCCATCACCACCATCTCACCTGCAGCTGCTCATGCCATCACCACCATCTCACCTGCAGCTGCTCATGCCATCACCCCCATCTCACCTGCAGCTGCTCATGCCATCGGGGCGGCTTATTCTTCAGCACCATTGGCTCCCATCCCTCCTCTCCGCATCTCTCGCCTTCATGTCTCTCCCGACAGAGTTCGTGGCAGCATGACATGTGGCTCTGCTCCCAGCCATCCCCCCCAACCTCGCCTGCCCCATCGTGCCTCGAGCAGCCATCACACACACATACCCCTTCACCACATGCACATACCCCTTCACCACATGCACATACCCCCTCATCACACGCACACTCCTCCCGTCTGCCGTTGCTCCCCCGTCGCTCCGCAATCTCAGCACTGCCTGGTACGTGTTCCCCCCCACTGCTTGGCGCGCAGTGCAGCACGGCCTGGATGCGGCGAGGCCCGCGAGTGCCCAGCACGTTGAGGGCATACGACACCGTCGCCACGGGCAGGGGGGCGGAGGGCGCAGATGGCGCAGAGGGTGCGGGCGGAGGAGAGTGTGATGGCGCGTGGGCGGGCGAAGCAAGCGCGGAAGGCGGAAGGGAGAGGGGGGGGAGGGACGCGGCACTATCGCATGTAGTGGCGGGCTGTGACTGGGCGGAGGAAGGGGGAGAGAGGACGGACGTGGGGCTACACGCGCAGTCGCCACGGGCGCAGGGGGTGGCGTGTGGGGAGGGCGAGTGAAGAAGCAGAGCGGACGGGCAGGCAGGGGGAGCGGAAGAGCCACAGCCATGGGGAGCGCAGGCGCAGCAGCAACCACAGCCGCCACTGCTGGCTCCACAGCTGCCCCTCCCGCAACCTCTCCCACTCCCAGCTCCTGCCAGCGACCCCACAGCCTCACTGCTCCCCACGCCCTCATCCCCCCCGCCCCGCGCGCATCTCCCTCCGCCGCCCTTCCCCTTGGAAAGGGCAGGGGCGGGCGCAGGCGCGGCCATGCTAGGGTGCACCTTGCTGCTGCTGCTAAGGGGCGCGGCGACGCCTGCAGGGGGGCGCGCGGAGGGCGCCGGGCCCTGCTGGCGCGCGTCGAAGATGGTGAAGCGCGTGCCGAGGAAGTTGGCGCGCACCCGCCCCAGATATGCGCTGCCCGCTACCACTCCGCTGCTGGCTGCCGCCCTGCTGCCTGCGCCGCCGCTGCCTGCGCCACCGCTGCTGTCGTCGGTAACGCTGCTGCTTACTACCGCACTGGTGGTGCTGCCGAGACAGGAAAAACGCGAGGCGTGTGTGGCGGTTGAGGTGCGAGAGGAGTGGGAGGAGTCAGCGGCGGTGGGGTGGTCGGGACGAGAGAAGTCGTGCGGGTCGAGCGAGATGACGTACTCCGTGCTGCGGGGTGAGGGGCGCAGAGGGGAGAGAGGAGGCACAGAGACGCGGGCAGAGGGGAGCAGAGGGGAGCAGAGGGGAGGGAGGAGGCACAGAGTAGCGGGCAGAGGGGAGCAGAGGGGAGCAGAGGGGAGCAGAGGGGAGCAGAGGGGCAGAGCAGGTGAGGAGTCAGGGGGGCGGCCTAGACAGATGCGAGGCAGGCATCATTCTCATACATCAATCACACACGCGCTCCCAGCCCAGCACACGCGCTCCCGTCACACGTGCTCCCGTCGCACGTGCTTCCATCCCATCACACGCGCTCCAATCCCGTCACATGCCGCTTCCGTCCCGTCACACATGCTCCCGTCACACGCGCTCCCGTCCGGTCACACGCGCTCCCATCCCGTCACACGTGCTCCCGTCACACGCGCTCCCGTCCCGTCACACGTGCTCCCGTCACACGCGCTCCCGTCACACGCGCTCCCGTCACACGCGGTACGGTCACACGCGCTCCCGTCCCGTCACACGTGCTCCCGTCACACGCGCTCCCGCCACACACACGCGCTCCCGTCACACACGCTCCCGTCACACGCACTCTCGTCACACGCGGCCCCACAGCACGTGCCCAGAGTTCGACATACCTGGAGGGCCGCCAACAGAACTTGCGCGCCGCCATGAGGAATTTCCCCGCCGCGGATTCCCCCTCCGCCTCCGCCGAGGCGCTCGGCGACGCCCCCAGGAAGAGCGAGAACGTGCCCGTCTTGCGGTTCCGCCGAATCAAACACTCGACGGTGCGCTCGCGCGGGCCCAGCGCGCGCAGGTCCGCGGGGAAGAAGATGTGCGCGGGGTCCGCGGAGGTGGGCGGAGCGGACAGTATGAAGTCTCTGGAGAACGGGGGAGGGGGGGATGAAAGTAGCAGCGGAGGTGAGAATGCGCGCAGCGATCAAACGACCTCGCGAACAGGTTCCGCCGATAGTCTGAGCTTTCGCGGGCCTGGAGAGCAGAGGTTCGCGCGAGAAGAAGTTCGGGGTTGGCGAGAGAACTAGAGTGGGGGAACACGAACGTAAGGAAAAAGAGAGGCAGGCCAGCAAAAGTCGAGTTTTACTGAAGGAACTTGATGCGACGCGCGGCGCGGAGGCTGCGGGGTTGGACGAAACGCGTGGTCATAAATTCATGCCCGTGAAAGTGATGTATAAAGGTATTTGTTTCTGTGTAACGGTTTCTCCGCATGTTCGTTTTCCACGTTCGCAACGAGTTGCACGGCTTTCCGATGGAAAAAAAGCCAGCAGATTGCTGGAAGTTACTACCGAATTGTTACTCCACCTGGTGAAAGAGATTTAAAGATCTGTTACTTACCGAATTGTTAATCTCGTCTGTTACAGCAGGAAGGACCGTCAATTTCGTCTGTTACTTACCGAATTGTTACTCCACCTAGTGAGACAGATTTAAAGGTCCAGGATTGTGACTTCCGCCAGTGCACGGGCACGTACCTGGTGATTTCCCGCCATGAATTGCACACGCCAGCGCAAGCCACCAAAGTCCGACGGTGCGGCCAGTCCATGCCCGGCGCGACGACGCGCGAAAGCACATCGCGCAGAAGCTCCGGCGGCATGGCGGCCCATGCGACACGCTCGTCGCCGTCCGAGCTCATCGCCACGAGGATTCTTAGGCAGGCTGTGAATAGAGTCGAAAAATATTGAGGCTGATGTTTGCGGAAGCGTCAGACTTCGGAGCCAGGTCTCCCAAGAGCTTTTGATAGAGCTAAGGACGTATAACTGCACATCTGAAGAAAGTAACAAATTCATCTCAACTGCCAACTTTTCTTGAACTGCGTGGAAGTGAGCAAACACAGAGCACGTGTCTGTGGAATGAGGCAGCTGTGGCCTTGCACTCCGTTTCCACGCGCTTGTTTTATGTTTTCCCCTGCCTTTTCCCCTTCCGCCTACAGTAGGTGTCGAAGATCTCCCATGTTTCCCCATCCCCATTCTTCCCCAACCGCAATTCACCCCATTGACTCGAAAGAATGGATGGTTCACCGCACACCACCAACCCAGTTTCCCCCGAGTTTTTTCCGCAACTACGCGCTGTTGCGGAGTTTCCGCGGAAGAAGATTGAGAGCGGGCTCGTGCGCGCGGCGAGGCAACTGCATGCCACAGGCCCATTGCGCCTCGAATTCCCCCAAGGGGTGGGAAGGAAAGGCGGAACTGACACGAAGCGCTACTCCAGGAACGTGAACCAGCACAGACCCTGGATCTCGGGTCCATTCCATTGTCCAGAAGTGGCCTAGTCAGTAGAAAGAGGCACTTCCGAAGGATGAGGTCCTGGGATCAAACGGCCATTTTCAGGTGCATGCAGCTTAGTCGAGGCGCGCTATTCCGGTGCATGCTATCCCGTCGTTTTTCTCCCTCTGTTACCACTGTTTGTACACATCAGCCACTAAAAATACTGTTCCGTCAGGGGAACACAAGCAGCACACGCAACACACGCAACACACAAAATGGGCCTGGCAGGGAAGCCCGAAAAGAAATAAATACAACTCATAGAAAGCCTGGACATTGTTCGGGAGGGATCAACCCTAAACACGGGAACCTTCATGGTGTTTAGGGTTGATGTCACGTAAGGCAGTGGGAAAAAAAACCTAGGGAAACTGGACTAATTTCCCGGAAGAGATCAACCCTAAACACGGAACTGCCCTCGTGTTTAGGATTGATTCCTCCCGAGTTGCATGCGTTTCCAATTGGGTTCTAAATTTTTCTTGCCCGTTTTTAGTCAGGTGTATTGCGATATGTGCTGACATCGTTCGCAGTAAGGCTGCGACTGGTGTGGTTGGACGACGAGTTCGTGCGAGAGCTGCGCCAGTTGGTGTCGGGCCATTTTCAGGTGCAATCTCTATATTACAGAATATGTGTTCAGGTGTGATCCCAATCTGTTACGGCACTGTTGCGGCACTGTACACACGTGCCGCAACAGTATCTTATGCAGACTCGCCACGCACATCTTGTTCAGCTGACGGATTGTCTCTGACACATCCTGACGGAAGTCAAACATACAGCATGGCCAGGCCAAACTACCCGAAGCTGTTAAGGCCACCCGAAAAAAACAAAATAAAACCCCTAGAGAACCTCGAAGCAGTTTCGGGAGGGATCAACCCTAAACACCGGAACCTATCTGGTGTTTAGGGTTGATGCCTCCCGATTCGATTGCGTCCCGATTGGGTTTTATTTTTTTTGTCACGAAAACCTTACGGAGGCATCAACCCTTAAAACCAGGGGGTTCACTTGTTTAGGGTTGATCTCCCAAAAATGCGTCCAGGGTCACTAAAGCGTTTAAGTTTTATAATTTCAGGGTGTGTCTTAGCAATTCCTGGTAGCCTCGGTAAACAAATCGTGTGTGGCGCATTGATTTCCCATCAATTTCCCTCAGCCAGTACAGATTTGAGTGGCGTATCTTTTCAAGGCTCTGTAACAGAGACTTGGAAAGATGCGCCGGGATCACACCTGAACACATTTCCCCAATTGTAGAGATTGCACCTGTTGGTGTCAGTCGGATTGTAGCATCCCCTAACGGAACAGTAATTTTCGTGGCGGAGGTGTACATACAGTAACAACAGAGGGAGAAAAATGACGGGATAGCATGCACCTGAATAACGCGCCTCGACTAAGTTGAATGCACCTGAAAATGGCCGGGGATCGAACCCACCCCCGTGCAGGCGTGTTTTGCCAACCTCCCATGAAGGGGGTCGCACGTGCTCATCTAGGAAATGGATATGCCAATTGGTTACGACCAATATATAACTTAACCTGGATCTCGGGTCCACAACACGTTCCGTCGCACCATCAGCACAAGTGAAGGC